CTCTGAGTCCAGCTGAGCGACTTTGAGATATAAAATTGGAGTCTTATTTTTCAAATGTCCTTAAAAAAAAGAAGGGGCTTTAGAGGATGAAAAGTTAGACTGTGGATCCCTGAGGCTGCCCTGGCAAGCGTGGGGAGTGGACATGAGACGGGGAGGCTGCGAGGAGACAGAGAAAGGACATTGGCCGAGCGGTGAAGAGAGGCCTTCATGCAATAAACGAGTCGTGGGGATGAGCAGCTGGGCGAACGCAGCTGACCCCAAACACCTGAGGTCTGGTCCCAAATTATTTTGGATCCCAAACTGACCTAGGACTAGAGACAGAATTCGGCCCAGCGTCAGGAAAGCACAGAGACCATCATCACAGAGGCCTCTCAGGCAATGTCCTCCCATCTGCTGCTGCTGTCCTTTAGACTCTGTCCTGGAGGAGCGAGCTCCTTGTTGGGAGCAGTGGGGAGGGACCAGGGCCACAACCCGGCCAGCCAGGTGCCCAGGGTGCCAGGCGGGAACACTCACTGTCGTGACGGGCGGTCCTGTCAGCGTGCCGGCTTCCCTGCAAGATGAGCGTCCACAGCCCATCGGGGCTCCGCGGTGCAGAAAGAATAAAGCAAACACGCCGCCCGGCTTGGGACTCACAGGCTAACACTAGCAATCTGGTAGGAACGGGCATAAAAGACAAATAAACTCTAAAATGAGAAACAGAATCAGCAAGGCACACACACGCCCCGCTCTGGCCAGCGGAAAGTGCGGTGAACCCAGACCACCCGTGTGGTTTCCAGCGTCCGCAAACAAGGGGCCCGGCGAGGGCCACCCCATCAGCACGGGCTCTAGGATTTGCTCCCAGCACCGAGCACTAGCATCTGACCATCTCCCACGTGCCAGACGCCACAACACATCCTGGTCCTTCCTTTCCGGAAGTTTGCAGGTTGGTAGCTCGGCCCCGGGGCAGCCCAGGAGCCGGGGGTGGCAGGCCGGACTGGGAAGAGCGGACCAGGGCCCTCCGCCTGGCGGCCACGTCCTTTGCCTCCACATCCGAGGCCACCGCCAACCAGGAGGAGGGGGCCCGCAGAGACCTCGAAGCCCTGCCTGCCCTCCTCCCCACCTGTCTCCGTGAATTAGAAGCCTCTGAAAGGCCAAAGTAAACAAAGAACAGCGCTGAGCTGTCCCTGACCTGAGAACCCAGGGGGCTTCTGAGGGTCCCCTGGCCGCCCCGCCCCTGGGAGGCCCACGGGCAGCCAGGAATCTCACCCCCCAGGGACCAGAAGCAACAGGCCCCCCAGCCAGAAATTCCTTTCCTTCTCCCCTCCCTGCCCGCTGGTTACTCCTTCCTTGTCTCCCTCCCTCTCTCACGGGGCCTGGCAGGGGACCCCCTGGGAAACAGGGCCTGCTGGCAACCTCAGGAGGATGACATGATGACACGTGGGCCACGAAAGTCCACAAGGTTCTCTCGTAAAAGTCTCTGGTGTCTCAAGGGGAGCGGACCAAAGGCGGACGCCACCCGCAGGCGCGCCGCTGCTCGCTGTGGGTACCTCTGGGCCTTGAATCTGTCTGCTCCCCAGGCTCCTCTCTCCCACCAAAGGAGGAAGCCCAGGGGGGCCGAGGTGGGCACGGGCCTTCCAGAGAGAAGGGGGGCTTTGGCAAATTACACTTTATTCAACTATTGTCCAGAGCCGAACAGAAAAGCCCGAGAAAAAATAAAACGTGACTTACTGGGTTTTGGTTTCAATTAGCACGTTGACACTCTGTTCTCTGTTTGTCATGTTTTCACTGTGTTTGGTGAGTGTGTTGACACAGCCTTGGGCTGGGAGGAGAGGTCCTCGGCCAGCTTTCTGTTCCCTCCAAACACCCAGCTTGAAGGGAAATCCACAGCTCCCTGCAGACCTGTCCTCCCTCCCGGGGGCTGTGGGTTTATCGTCCCCCTTTGTGACCCTTGCATTTGTAAGAAAACTCTGAGCACCACTGAGCTGATTTCCACACAGTGGAGATGCTTGCAAAGAGGTCATCCTGTGCTTTCTGATTTAACCCCGTCCCCCCAGGTGACGGGGCTGGTGTGGCCCACAGAGCCCTACCCCAGCCTCGCCCATCTCCTCGCCCATCTCCCCGCCCCACCGCACTCCCGCAGGCACGCTACACCCCGCACTCAGGGGCTGCTCTCCTCCCGGACCACGCCAGGCTCTCCTACAGCTTCATCCGGAGTCCTTCCCCCACCAAGTCCACGCGGAAGAATCTTTGTTCGCCTTCAAGTTCCTGCTCAGATGCCCCGAGAAAAGGTCTCCGACCCCACCAGACAGAGTACGGTGTGCCTCCCGCGGTCCTGGCGCGTCTCACTGGGCAGGGTGATTACAGGCTTGCTCTGTCCGTCCCGCTGCGAGCGGCTCCTCAGGGGAAGGGCTCAGCCTCGCATCCCCAGGCGGGAGGCAGCGTTGCCTGCCTGTGGGAGGTGCTCACAACTCCTCTTGTTCAACGTCGGGGTGAAGGAGGGCAGAGTCACAGAGACAGGGAGACGAAGGAAGAGAGAGACTTGTCTTTCTCTTTCTGACTCACTCTTACGTGGAATCTGAAAACAAAAAGATAAAAATGAACTTATTTACAAAACAGAAAGAGACTCACAGACACAGAAAACAAACTTATAGTCACCAAAAGGGAAGAGGGGAGGGATAAATTAGGAAATCTGGATTAACAAATATAAATTACCATACATAAAATAGATAAACAACAAGGTCCTACTGTACAGCACAAGGAACTACATTCAGTATCTTATAATAGCCTATAATGAAAAAGAATCTGAAAAAGAATAAACTAAATCACTTAATCATACACCAGAAACTAACACAGCATTGTAAATCGACTAAACTTCCATAAAAATTAAAATCAAAAATTAAAAGACGGGAAGAAAGAAAAGAAAGAAGGACGGGGAGGAGGGAGGGGGGAGACTGAGCACCCTATTCTTAGAGTCTCAAAGCTGGTGCCAACCAAACCTCTGCTGGGACAGACACCTGTGTCCCTCGGTAATGTCTCCTACCCTCCAGATTCCTTAGCTGCTGTAAGAATCACAAGTTCTGGGTCTCCTGCCTTCAGGGGCGGGGACAGCAGAGAAGCGAATTCACACTGTGGTATCAGTGACTAATATTTATCTCTTCTTATTTAATATTTGAAATGTCAATAGTCTCTATTGCCTTGACCTCGGTGAGCGAGGGTGATGGAATGTCAACTCCTCCGCCAGGGGCATTGTTTGTGGGGCAGAAGGGAGATGCTGAGTTTTGGAATTAACCTGCAGATTTTATTCAGCTCGAATGCTGACACCCAAATAACTGCCCGTCCAATGCTGAAGTCACCCAAGAAGGCCCCTGCCCTGAAGAGACGCCCATGAACTCAAGGTCTCTGAAATCCTCCTCTGGAATCTACAGAGGAAGTCTGAGCATTTGGGGCGAGTGGGGAGTGGAGCAGAGAGACTAGGGGAAAGAAGGAAGGAAGCAAGAAAAGAAAGGGAGGGAAAAACTAGGGCCTTGGGGAGCATTTGGCACAGTTGGACTCTTGGTGCGCCCGCCTCGTCCACGAGCCAAGAGCCTTTACAGGATGTGTTGGTCCTGATGGAAACAGGAAACTTAGGGGAAGTGCCCGGAAGAGGAAAAAGTGTTTCAGAAAATAATCAACACTCTGCAGGCCCAGAGATGGTACTGGGCTGGGCACGAGCTAAGTAAGACAAACAGGACACCAAGTGATCTTCAGAAAGGGGCCAGTGGCTTACATGCATTTTCTTCCATAGGGAATACTTCAGAAAGCAACTTTATTCTTGATTTTGGATAATTGAAGACATGCAGATTTTTTGGCTTTAATTTTTATGTCAAGGTAGCCAACAGTGCAGTTGAAAGCAGAATGCATTTCTTCCAAACCACTGCAGCTCAGAATTCCGCACAATCACTACTCCTCCCCTCACCCCACCAGACCCTTCCCATCAACAATGAAGCACGTTCAAGTCTCTGTAGTCCTTGAAATATATTTGTATATGTTTTCAACCCCACATCTCCTTCTACCCTGGTGATTGTCAGTCTTGGTTGTGTGTTAGGATCACCTGGGAGCTATAAAATTTCTCAGTGCTTGGGGCTAACTCCCGGAGATTCTGTCTTAATTGGTCTGGAGAGTGGCCTGGGCTTTGGGATTCTTTAAAGCACATCACATAATTCTAGTGTACAGACAGGGTTGAGAACAGTATGAGCCCTAACCCTCCGCTCCCCTTCTCAGCAAAATTCCTGGAAGTTTTTCACAAAACCTGTTCCATTCCCTTTTCTCCTAACCTCTCCTCAAACCACAACAACCCATCACTTCTCTAAAATAATTCTTGCTAAGGTCACCAGAAGCCCCAGTGCCATTAAATCCCACAGGTGCTTTCCAGCCCTCATCTCTGCTGCTCCAGGTAACAGCTCTGCCCCTGCGTTTTGATGCCCTCTCTTCCTTTAAATGCTGAGACCCCACACTCCTCAGCTTTTCCTCTGACTTCTCTGCTGCTCCTTTCAGTAGCCTTTGAATGTCCATCCTCTCTGCCCAGCTCCCGAAGCCCTGGGCTGGGCCGTTTGTGAGCAGGAATCCCACTCATTTCCTCCTTCATGGAGGACAGTCTCCCTCATGCCCGTGACTGCAGTTTCCACCTGTCTTTGAGGGTTTACCAATTTGCTTCTCAAGTCTGGACCTTTCCAGAGTGCCCACTTCTACGTGACATCTCTCATGGCCTCAGGTTGTCCCGGGCGGACACCATCCTTGTGACCGTCTCTCTGTGCCCCAAGCTCCAACCCTGGGCACAAAGCCAGAGGCCAAGATTCCTCCTGACAGCTCCCTCCCTCACTCCCCACATCCAGCCTATCACCAAGTGCCAGTCCTTGCACTTCCTCAGATCTCCTCTCCACCCACTTCTCCTCCACCCCCATGACCACCACCCCGAACTAGCTGCCCATCTCCCTCAGCGACTGCAGGACCCACCCAGGCCCTACCCTGCCATCCATCGTCACCTCAAGGGAGCTTTGCAGGCCACAGATCTGTGTGATCAGCTCCCCACCAAAACGCAGTGGTGACATACCATTTATCTTAAGAGAAAAGAGGGGAAATGAAAAATAATCAAGAGAAAAAAGAAGGTTCTTCCTGGTCTGGTCACTGCCCTCCCCTTCACTCCCTGCGTTCCGATCATGGTGCCCCTCCAGCTCCTCAGGTGTGCTGAGCTGCCTCTTGACGCGCGGCCTTTGTGCATTCCTTTCCCTCTGCAGAGAAGGATCTCCCTTACCCCACACCATTCCCCGCGCTCAGCTAACATCTTCTCATTTTTGCTTACCCAACTCAAACATGATTTCTGTGTGGAACCCTTCCCTTCCCTCTACACCCCTCCCTCCCTGTGTGCCTGCGGGTCGTGAGGTATTCCACACCATCCTAACATCATACACCTTTCCTTTCCTTTAATGCAAGCATCACTGTGTAATCATGAGTTCATTTTTGTGGGTTTCTGACTGACGTGGGCCTTCTGTGACTCTGCCCCTGAG